TTCTTCTTCATCATTTTTATTTACCAAACGTGGCATCTTGTGAATCTTTTCATTTTCCTTTTTCTCAGCATTTATTATTACTGTCAGTTTATTATTATGAGATTTGGTGTTATCCGAGGTTGCTTGAAGACTTTCTTTTAGCTAATGAATAATATACTTTTTAGTTTTATGGATTAAGGATTCCCTCGAGACTAAATTTTGGTAAGAAAAAGAAATTTGTCATCCGTTTTCCTTCACATAAAAAGGAAGAAATTTAAAAAAAAAGGACTCTGTGATGCCCTGCAACTCATGATGTTTTTTCAAACAAAAAGAAAATACTAAATCGTTCTAATGGACCCTTACAGATCTTTTGATTTCTTTCTTTTTATGTGGAAGAAAACGGATGACACGTTTTATTTTCCTATCAAAAATTAGTCTTGAGCAATACCTTAAAGGCTCTTGAATATATCGAACGATATAAAATAAAACGTTTCATATTTAAACTGATACTCTTCCTGAGCAGACGTCTTTCCTTTTCAGTGTTATTATCATTAAAATCTGCTTGTTTTGTTAATGATGCAATTGATTATTTTCTTGAAAAGCTTCGAATGATTTTTCCCTATATCAATGTTTTAATTAATTTATTATTCTGAATATGTCACAAATGTAAAATACAAACAGATTTATTGTTTTTTTATGGTTTGATAAAGTTAAAACTAGTCGCGGTATATATAGAAACAATACGATTGAGAAGTTCCAGAAGGAATTTTTCGATGAAAGATTATTGATTGATTTGCAAATCATCGAAAATTGAGAATATCTAGATTTGAACAGATAATGTCTTCTTATACATATAATTCAAAATGTTGATTATACTTTAAATAATAACAACTGTTTTGGAATTTTTACGATTTGTCAATATTATTAAACCGTCATTTACATTTGTATACACGAGACATTCGATGAGAATCTAAACGAACTTTTAATTAAATTTGTCATTAAATAAAGAATTTTTTTGAAATATTGCAACTTTATTGAAAATACATTATTTGTTGAAAAAGAATTCTTGTATTCTAATATAGTAAAAGATATTGTTGAATATCCATTCACCCTTTACAAGACAAATAATATCACCTGAACTTCTCTGTCAAAGTAAACATCAATCATAATGATTATTTTCATATATTTATACGAAATATTGTTTTGTTTAAACAGAGATCGAACAGTTGAAATCCAATGTTTTCTTCTTCTCCTTTTCAGATCAACGTTGCCAAACAAAATAAAAATCATAAAAAAGACCTATGTAGATGTGCTGGCGTCTATTCATTTTGTTTCGATTTGATCTGCATATTTACACGAATTAATACAAATTTTTTTTATCTCAAAACAAATGTATATTATATTTCTCTTGTACTGATTACAAAGTAATATTGAAGTGATAAACAATACCAAAAGTATCAGCACTAATAATGTTATCACTGCTAAACGTTTTTTGATTTTTTTTCAGACTTCTTCCTTCATATGCGATGATATGCCAGTTTTTTAAAAAGAAATGTTTCTCTTTCTCTCTCGTCTTACAAGTAAATTTTGTTGGCATTTGTTTCTTTTAAAGATAAAAGACAGCGCACACACATTTACATACCATCTTAGTTTCGCTGGATTAGATACAGAATATGTGAATTTATTTTTTATAACTTTAATTTCTTTAAGAAATCTAGTTGTATAGGTTGATGGTCGTTCACGAACACTATAAAATAGTATATAAACATTCTTTCTTATCTAATATGTTTTACAAAGAAAACAATCACCTGGTTTATTTAAGCTCGAAATTTTCATGGCTAATCTATAAAATCATGTTAAAAGATTGTTTTCGAAACATAGGGCGGCCAAACTGTACTAATTGTTCGAGATAACAAAAATTGTGATGTTAACATTGATGATTTTGCCAAACTTAACGACGCAAAAGATTTTAGTATCCTTAGACAAGTGAAGCTAAGTTTTTTCCAAGATACGATCGACAGAATTTTGAATATACTAACCGCTCATATATTTGAATTTGAAACACTCTCTTGTTCGGGAGAAGAACAATCAAAGCGTATTTTTTCAAAAAGGGTGCGGAGGGCTCTTTGAGCCGATAGAAATGTTATATCTATAAAAGTACTTTAGTATGCATATCCTTACCCCTCCTCCAGTAATAGAAGACCCCTCTTATATCACGTTCAAGCGTCAAAAGTTTCAGAAATAGTCTTCTTATATGGAAGAGATCTTCTATCAGGGTGTAGGTGTTGTGTGTGAGTGGATGTAGATGCTCTTTATATCCACATTCACACCCACACCCACACCCTCTTTGACTGTGCAACACTTAAATTAAATAATATGTTCTTATAGTTGGAGATCATCGGTTGTTTTATGAATAATGCATACTCAGATTGTGTAATCAAAATTTGTTTCGGCCGATCATAATATGGATATTTTTGTTTCTCAACATTTACGAAAGAACTCTAGTCAAATGTTCACTTTTTACAAGATTAGGAAATATCTACGATACTTCTTGAAGTAATTGTACTAAATAATGTAATTTATGAGACTAGAATTCTATTCGAATTAATCTTTTTATATTGTCTGTTCATGAAGAAAAAAAAAGCATAAGTTTCTCACTCAGTCATTACATAATTTATGTAGTCGAAACCAAGACTTCATAGATAAACTATGATGGTGAACTTTCTAAAAGCATAGGACAAGGTAGTTGTGAGGTCTCAGAAAACTTTGTTTAAGCTAATTCTTAACAATACGAGCATAAAAAGTACAATATTTCACAAACTCCACAAAAAAGTTGGTTGCTGACTTCTTAGACATTTCTTTGTCTTTACGATTTTTATGATTATTTTAATGTTTGGAGTAAAGTTCGTAGAAAATGCCATGATTCCTAAGTTTGCTCTTTTTAAGAATGGCAATGTTTAAAAACATCTAACGAAAACAAAATCTTCTGATACCAGAAAAATACCTCGTCCATTTTTCCGAGAACTAACAGTCATAGTTTGTTCATGAAATTTTAATATAGAATGCATTAGATAGAAATCTCCATCAGTTATTAAAATCACTATCGTATGATGATCTAGACGCTTAGTATCATAGAAAAAAAAATACTTTCTTGCTAAACTTTTCTCCACCGTTTAAAGCACAACAATGTTTATCGTGTTTCGAGAATATTCGCTATTATCATGAAGTTGATCTGAATGGAGATCGATTGAGCATGCAAAGATTGTTCATAAATCATTTACTTCGACCATGTCGATAAGAACGCACTCAACAATATAATTATCAGTATCAAGTTTTCAAAATAATGAATTTTACTCTTAAAGAATCTCTTCTCATTAGAAATACGATAGATAGATGTTGTTATTATATGTTCAAATACGAAAATTGCAAACCAATGCGCATTTGACAAGTAGCTTGTTAATTTTAGAAATCTTTAGACTTTTGAAAAAGTAAATCTTCCTCATAAATAAGCCGGTTTCAGAAACTATTCTAAGAAAAGAAAGTTGGAGATTTATTATAATTATCGATAAAACAATCGAAGATCGTCTATTCGAAAATACAACATTCTCCAGGTAATCTCATTAAATACGAATATTTGCTATACATACATTATTTAATTATTTATTTATATAATGTAAGTTATGTTAGAACTGGATTCAATTTTTCATCTATGTTCGGTCTTAGATGCAGACTTGGATGCTCTATCGAATGATACCATTTTTTATATGGGTTATTTGGCAAAAACATTTCGCTTGAATCTGTCTCTAGATATTGGTAATGCTCTATCTAGGTAACAAAAGTTGACAAATCAAGGCTAGATCGAAATCGAAGCCTCAAATTCTCACTGTCGACCCATGTCCTCCACCGCACTCACGCCCACACCCTTGATAATCAAGGACAATGCGTTTTCACTAGCGTAATCAAAATTTAATACACTGATACTTATTGTCATTTTGATTGAAAATGTAAGATTTTGTTTTAATTCAAAAGAAATTCATTTTATAAATTTCACGAATATGATTTCTTCAGTCGCAAATATTTTTTTGCAACCGGAACCTGCTATTGACTACATCCGTCTATAGAACACAACTTTTTTTGTCTTTAGACAAGAAAATTAATAAAAAAAGCGTTTTAATAAATCAAAAAAAAAGTTTTTTTTTAATGACTATGATTGTTTATATATGGATAGAGATCAAAATTAACAAACAACAAAATACTAAGCAAACAAAACAAAAAAAAGAAATGAATGGAAAAATATTAATGAGAAGTGCTATGTGAAATTTTAAAATGAATGACATGAACATGTGATATACAAATAAAAGCATGAATTTAATTGTTCACATATCGAAAAGTTTTTCTATTTCATCTTTTATAACGTCAAAGATTGCTGATTGATCTTTTGAAACATGAGAAACTGATGATTCATCTAATGGATACCATGAATCCAGCTTTTTTATTAAATTTAATAAATTTGAATAATGTTTATTTGTACGTTGAGTATCTTTCCATAATTGCAATGATTTTAATACAACTTCGTTAACATCTTGTAAATTATTAAATGAAACAACACTTCATTCGATATCAGCATTACTCATAACCATTATAATATTTAATGCACATATTAAATCAAAAGTTCGTTCATAAAAGTAACATGGAAAACCCTAGTTAGATAATAATTTTAAATACAAATCCAAAAATGGTTCACTAGCATATCTAAGTGGACCTATCATTTTTATGCTGCCTCCTTGTTATCCATATTAAATGCAAATGCAAAAACGAAACCAATTACTTTTATATGATTACTATCACGATGAAAAACACGACAATCATATAAATAATGAATTATATCAATAAGTTGTTTCGATTGTATCAATGATAATGATTCTATACATTGTAAGTTTTTTTTCGTAGAATAAATATTTATCTGAATACAAATAATAAAAAATTTAGAAATAGTATAAAATATTATGTCAATCATAAATAAATTGAGATGTAGTCTTGTACCGAAACAAATTACTTACATTAAATATTCTTTTTATTAATTATTTCATCTAAACTACAAATGAATAATATAGATAGCTGTGTAATCGCAATCTTAGATATGAACGGAAGTTAAAGTCTTGAAAATTATTCTAAGATATTTAGTTTTCTTTTATCCATAAGAGTTTTGCTTTGTGTTATCTATCTCGTTTTTCAAACAATAGTTTTTAAGTCTTTAAACTGATCGATGTAACGTTAACATTTTACAAAAATAATTGGACGAAAATTTTACTAATTTAATTTAATTTTAATTCATTTAATTAAAAAGTATTATTTTGGTTGGAAAGATAAACGGATTATTAAAAAAGGCTGGATGTGGGTGTGGGTGTGGGTGGGTGTGGGTGTGGGTGTGGTGTGGGTGGGTGAGGTGTGGGTGTGGGTGTGTGGGTTGGGTATGGGCGTGGGTGTGTGGGTGTGGGTGTGTGTGGGTGTGGGTGTGGGTGTGGGTGTGTGTGGGTGTGGGTGTGGGTGTGAGAGTTTGGGTGTGGGTGTGGGTGTGGGTGTGTATGTAACGTATCACTGTGCCTATAGCCACACCCACACCCACACCCACCCACACCCACATCCACACCCACACCCACACCCACCACACCCCACACCCACACCCATACCCACACCCACACACCCACACACCCACACCCACACTCGAATCTATCTTTCTAGAGGTGGTAGAACGAATGACGAACAAAAGCAGATTGTTTCTCTTCTACTGGCGATAATTCATAAGAAAGGTTCCAACTTGTATCTGATCAACAGGTCGTTTCTGTTCAGATATTGTGCGAATTTCCACTGGCGAAAGCCAACGATTCCAGATTGAAAGATCTGCCATTCGACCCGTAAAACTATTCCTTCCGTGCTCGTTTTTGGCTCCCAGAGTCAAAATGTGCGGTAGATTTCGTCGTTCTCGGTCCCAATGACATTTTTGCGATTGTGAAAGTTCTCCACGCCAACAAGAGGCAATATTTTCTGGCGTAGTCATGTCTGTATGCCCGCAAAACTCGCCATTGATCCAAATTTCTTGTTCATTACGACTTTGACGCGTGACAATATGGTACCATCTATCTTCGTTCAGCTGTTCATTTGAGTAACAGTAAAATGAACACTGGTTATTGGAGATCATTGCCTCCGTACGAACTGTAATGTGATCATCTACACACATTAAAACCCAGTTCTTATTTAGTCTGTGTTGCCAAGCAGCCAAAAATATTTGCCATGGTGCTCGTTGAACTGAATCTCCTAATGGATACGCATAATTGATGCCTTTCTCATTACTAACTGTAGGTTTTTCCAATGAAGGTCGACGAAGGGAATTACGTGCTGAAAAGTCGGAAAAAAAAGAAAAGTTTTACTAAGAGCTATTATCTGAAAAAATCAGACATTGTAAATAAATCGTAAAACTGATGTCAATAAATTTATCTAAAAATTTTACCATGCATCACTTAAATCGATAGTATTGTCCGTTTCAAAAAAGAAGGCGGATGGGTATTTTTTCAATAACTTTGAATAGAAGCAAGATAGAGAGCTGCGGTTTTCACCGTTGGAAAGAGGAGATGAAAACCCATTGAATAGTATATTACAGAATAATGTGACCAAGTTTTTTTTCAAGGACTATAACCGATGGATTTGAAAATCAACTTACTCCGCCAGGTGACTAAAGTGAATCTTCAATAGTCAGGTGTATATTCGGACCGCTAGTCGAAGATCTACGGAAGTGCTCAAGGCTCGGACCTTTAGATTTGCTCTTTCAGTAGTTCTAGGTATTCTATTCGAAAGTGTTAGGTAACTTTTCTATTAATTTCTGTGAAGAAAAGTAACTTTTTTGCGTTTTTCTTATTTTATGAGAAACCAATTTTTCAGCACTTTTTATAAAACATTGATTAAGAAAACGTTAGAAAACATTTTAGAAAAATCTATAATATACGCTGCGATGGATCTTCATATCCTCTTTTGAACGGTAAAAATCGCAGCTCTTCATCTTGCTTCTATCGAAAGTTATTCAAAAAAGTACCCATCCACGTTTTTTTTGAAATGCACAATAGTTTGTAGTGGAAAGTCATCTTAGAAAAAAATCATTCTTTGGGGAGTTATAGGCGTTGCAAGTGTCTCTTACTTAAGACTTAAAAGCAGAACTTTTCAGTAAAATGTTATTTTCTCCTAAGGGAAAAATTGTACAGTGATGAAATTTTCAGCCAGTATCTCTGATATGAACCACTAGCAACACCAAAATCAACATGTTCGAAAGGTTTTTGATCTAAATTTGGCAAAGATTTGATATATTTCGGAACCAGCGAATTTCTTGTCGCCTTAAAAATAGAAAATAAAATTTAATGAATCTAGGATAGTTCTTGAATATGATTCTAACAATCCAACCGCTAATTTGCTCAAATACTTTTGAATATCTTTTCTTGAAAGCTAAGTTTTATAGGATAATTGTAAAAAGCCGAAAATTATTCATCTTCAGTTTGTAGTCGCTAGACAGATAGAACATCGAAAATGTTCAAATGAGCAACCTCTGAACTTTCAACAAGCTTGTCTTACCGAGATGTAACTTGCGAAGTAAGAGATGTTTCAAGTTGTGTTTTATCTCACCTCCTACTCTGATGACGACGAACCAAGATGCGAATGTTTGCACGATCCGATAGCTTAATGGAACAAGGACAGCAAAAGTCAAGAGACGTCTCAGTTCAAAAGTGTTCAGGTATTCTATCTTTTCAGTGACCCAAACTAACTTCTACTAGTATTGGATCTCTCAAAGTATTTTGCAAGCCAGGATTTTCCCAGCGTTACTCAGAAGAATTTGAAAAAAAAGCAAATGTTTAAATTTGTGGAATAAGCGTTGGGCCTGGTTTAGGCATACTATGTATCGGCTTTTTCGGCTTTTACTGTAAAGAGTTACTGGTACTTTATGGAGAATTATAGAACCTTTGCTAAATCGAAAGAAAAACCTGTTCTACTTTAATAATTTAGGAATCGCTAGTCTTTTTACACAAGCAATATTTTCTGAAAAATTTATCCTTCTCAGGCTCATCGCTTTCCACAATGTATCAATTCATGGAGAAATTCGAGTTTTTGAAGTAAATCCATCGGATTGGTCCCTGATCCAGTTGATCCCGGATCCAGATCTGGAGATTTTCTATTGACTAGTGTCCATTTCACGGATAAATTGCCGTGGGTATTTTTCAAATAACTTCTGATAGAAACGAGATAGAGAGCTGCGGTTTTCACTGTTGGAAAGAGCAGCGGAAAATACACCGAACCATATATAGAAAGATTTTTCTAACGACTTTTCTGAAGGTCTTAATCAAGCGTATTCAAAGAATTGCGCTTTTCTCTTACGTGAAAAAAATGGTTTTTCTATCGAAATATCACAAAATACCTCCATTTTTCGACTATTTTGTTGAAAAACTGGGTGGTGAATTGCACTCCACTGGCTAGAATATCGTATTGGTAGTTGTTAAGAATAGAGCCTTTCCATCGTTTTTTGTAGCTCTTCATTTGGCGGATCTAGCACACTCCTAAAAGTCAATAAATTAATATTCCAATCATGAGAGGCATGCTATTTTTCTTGAATTTTTACGTAAAACCTTCAGAAAAGTCGTTAGAAAAATCTTTCTATACATGGTTCGATGCATTTTCATCTACTCTTTCCAACGGTGAAAATCGCAGCTCTATATCTCGTTTCTATCAGAAGTTATTTGAAAAATACCCACGGTCATTTATCTCTGAAATGGACATTAGGTTTAGATCCGACCCAACCAGTCATACTCTAAAACTAATAGCCAATTACACATTGATTATTATAACATTATGGTCGAAATTGTGTGAGCAATGTGCAGGGTGCGTTAGGCGCATAATAAGAATAACCAATAAAACGTATGTCGCATTTTTAGAACAACTACTAGGTTAAGACTAAAAACCGTTTTTTGAAATCAGGAGTACGGTTCGGATCCGGGTCTGACACTCATTTAATGAACGGTACCTGGGTACGAAAAATTTGGGCTTGTCAGGTTCTATTTTCAAGTCTCCATCTCGTATTACTTACAATGGCCACCAGTGTTCAAACAAACATTTTTCAGAACTGAAAAGTTTACCATAATCTATTCTCGATCTGTGATATATATGATAAAATTTAGATTGAATTGATAGATGTCAGTAGCACCAGCTGTCTGCTGTTGTCAGCTTTTCTCCGATAATAGCTTTGCAAAGCTCCAGAGAAAAGACAAGATGGAAAATTTAACACAGAGGGGTGGAATTTTTTATACATTTGGTTTCGACTGATATGAAATAGGTGTCTTCTCAATATTTTGTATCGTTAGTTTAGAGCTTCTGCCGAATACAAGCCATCTGGGGATGGAGTTTATTCCCCGATTCTCATGAGGTCTAAGATGAAACGATTTTTGTTTAAGAATGTAAAAAATATGAATAAAAATGCTCTCTTCGAATAGTTAGTCATTATATACCTGGTGCAAGCCAAAGTGAAATTGAAAAATAATCTGTTTGATATTCCACTCGGTCGAAAAGTGTGAAGTTCAGTCTCGTACGACCATCAAATTCGATACATTTATTGAACAGATCACAATCTTTGATTAACAATGATGGTTGTGAGCTTCCGTCGCCACTCAGAAAACAATATGGTTTTACCAGACTTGAATCTTTACCAATATCATTCTTATCGTCGAACTTCCAGTAACCAATAAGTTTACGGCAACGTCGATCGCTCTGATACCGTTGTTGAAAGAACTTGTTCAGGAAATATTCATTATAAATTGCTACTCGAAGTTGTTTACAGACACTTGATACTCGAAGCAAATCAGAGAATCGATCAACTTTGATGAATATTTTTTGTAGTAGTTCAATTGAAAAAGCAGGTAAACTTCGTGTAATCGGCACTGGTGCTACAATAACCGAAGAAAGAAAGAAATATGATACTTCATACCTCACGAACTTAAAGATACAAGAGGAGGGTGGATGATATAGGTTATGAGTATGTGTACGAATGGGTATGGTTGTATATGACTATGAATATTAATGCAGACGTATGAGGTCGTCGCTGTGTCAAGACGGAACATGGGGATGAGCTTCCATATGTGATTGGAGGGAAGACGTGCACGCACACCCAAGTTTCATGTCCACACACTCATCTATATTCAGCCCACAATCATAATCAACAGAAGGTTGATATTGAAAAGTCCACTATTATGCAAAAAAAACTGTTTATGCACGTGCATCTGCATGTCAATGTTAGAGTCAGTATGTTTATTGGTGCATTGATCGGTAAGAGTACAGGTCTTTTTTTCACAACCACCGATACAACATTTGAGAAAGTGAGAGCAAATTTCAGATTTCCGTTTAAAATGCTAGCTGTGAGAAAGACAAAATGGGATGAGCACGTTTTGACTTTTTTAATTTACAATGAAGTTGTTCTTCAAATGATTTATATACACAAAAAGAATATTTGAAGTTCTCAAAATGTGCTCATTCAAGAACAAAACATCCAAATCTACAAAGACGTAGGTGGCAAAAAAGGATTTACACAAAGATATTCTCTCATGTTTTCGAGAGCTGGCTAAGCTTTCTCCTACTTTGTATTAAATTTGGGCTATATCTTTCATCGCTTTGTGTAGATTTACTTACGCTATAGCTTTCTCTCATTTTGAGTCAACTATTAGAGGTCTATTATCCGTAAATTGCGGAGTTCATATAAGAAGAAGAAGAATACCCCACCTTTTGGCTATCTTGCGGTGTAGGGTGCTGTCCGAGAACAGTTTCGAGAGTCCGATATGTTTCCTACATCTATTACTAAATGTAGCTCTGGACAGAAGGCCGGCCTGACTCAGAGTTCTCCCGCTTAATCACTTAAGCTCCCCGTGTATACTGAGTAACCACATACTAGCCATAAGGGCTTTAGCGTATGTCAATCACGTAGTCAGTTTGTTATCGGATGGGTGATCCGAGACAAAGCAGCCGTTAGTGACTTGCCCAAGGTCATTCTATGACTGATGGAGCCGAGATTCGAACACAATACCTTGTGAGTATGTGTCAAGCATCTTAACCATTCAGCCATACCGACGGAGTTCATAGGCTATGTTTATCTTTAATTTTATAAACTTCCAACTATACCTTTCTTTAATTTTGTTAAGTTGCTATGCAATGGAACTGTTAAACAAATGAAACAGTGGTAGCAGTTACTGAAAACGTGATTATTTCTTTCGAAAAAATCGGAGTGTTTGTAAAATATGTAGATTTTTCCTCGAGAGATTGTTCAGCAATATTCACTCGACTTTATGAAGTAACCGCGTCAGGTTTATTGCTCTTATAAAAAGCTATGAATCTTGAAGGGTTTATTTTAAAATATTGTCACAAAGATAAAACTGATTCAATGAAGTATGTGATAGCTAGAACCTCTCAATGTAACTTAAATTTATGACATGTTCGGCACCCAAATAGGTTTGTATGTATACCGAAAACACAGGAAGACCTTGAGAATTTCTAATGAAATACGATAGTTATCGTTATCGTCAACAGCTCTCACGAACTTATTCATTTTGCTTAGCAAAAACATTTCTACTACACTCTAACAAAAAAACGTTTTCTCAGAAACTGAAACCCCTTCAGAAACCGTTTCCGAAACCCTTGAACGTATCCGGAAAGGTTTCCGGACTCATGTTAAGTTTCTGAAAATACCTTCAGGGTTTCCGAGTATCCGGAAACCTATGAGTTTTCGAAATATAGGTCCGGAAACACTCAACCGTATTTTCAGAAACCCTGGTGCTCTTTTTGAAAACCGAAAGTTATCCCCGGAAACCTTCTCTGATTTAAAAACCTTCTCGAAAACCTTTGCGTTTCCGATATTTTTTTTATCGAAAACCTTTTTGGGTTTCCGAGCATCGAAAACGGTGGAAACGTTTCGAAAAAAAGCATGGTTTCCGAACATCTATTGGAAACCCTTCAGGGTTTTCGAATTTTCAGAAAACCCTTGCGTTTCCGAAAAAAAGCTCCGGAAACCTATCCAGTATTCTCAAACACAGAAATAGCATTCGGATGTCTTCTTTTTGATTCTAATGTTCATACTATGGGCTATTTAATTTCAGTCTGAATTTATCAAATAAAAATAATACTTGATTTCAAACTGAAACGTGAGTCTAGGAGTGAGGGGGGCGAGTGACTGAGGGTGTGGGTGTTGGTCTGGGACCCACACACACACCCACACCCATGGTGCGGGTGTGGGCGCGCGAGTGAGGGTGAGGGTGTGCTTGTGGCTTTGTGTACTATAGGCTTTAGTCCCCTGCACAAGGGACTAAGCGGGGACTAAGCTTTTTGTGAGGGGGACTAAGGGGGACTTTGCAGGACTAGGGGGGACTAAGGGTTTTTAGTGAGACTACGTAGTATCAAACGAGAAAAGTTTGATTCGGAAGAAATTGGTGCGGTTTTTTTGATTTTAGAATTCAGTTTGAAATAAAAAAGCCCATAGACTCCTCCATCTATAGGACAGCTTTGAGGATCTATGGGTGCCTCCATATGATAGCTCTTGAGGACTTATGGGTACCATCCTCTCCTCCAGGATAGTCCTTGAGAGCTCATGGATAACCCTATGATAGCTGTTGAGAACTTGTGACTCCCTCTATCGGATAGCCTTGAGGATAGGACCTGATCGCTTACACAATTCCTCTAGGAGAAATCTTGAAGACTTAAGGATCTGAATTTTGGTGAGTCAGTGTGGATATAGGTCTTGTCAGCAGATTTACACTCATACCAGCTGATAAATAAGAGCTTCTCTATAGTCCCCGCTTACCGAAAAAGAGCTGCTCAAGAGATCTCGCTCACAGAAAAAGAGCTGGTCAAGATACTCCGCTCACTAAAGAAGAGCTGGTCAAGATACTCCACTCATAGAAAAAGAGCTGATCAAACGACCCCGCTCACTGGGAAAGAGCTGGTCATCATCGATTTGAGCCAGCTCAACCGGCTCATTGAGCTGTGGGCTGTCATACACCTATTTTGAAAATGAATAACTTGAATCAACTAATCAGATGTTAAAAGATAAAAATATATTTTAATACATGAATTAAAAGTAATTGAAATGTATTAAGTTTTTAATCAGTTATTTAGATCGTGTAAGACTAAGTCAATTGTTTTTTTAGTGACAATACTTTTTGAGAAACCAATAATTCGATTGAATTGAATCGAAAACTCCTATATCGAATCATTTTTTTCTTATCTTATAAGCTAATTAGTTTCAATTTTCTATCTAACACGTTTCTTCGATGAGCAGTAATATAATTGTTTGTGTAATTTTATGAGACATCAATAGAGGAATATAATTCTTGATTATTCTTGCGATATTGAAAGTAGGGATGTGATATATCAAGTGGAATACTTTTTGTTTCGATTTTCATTTACCTAGGGGCAGTGGATTGTTTGGTAGTGAAACAAAAATTGGCGCTGGTTGTATGAGTGGCACTGGTGGACGTGTTTCTTCCAGTTGAACAATGTGTAGATCACCTTGATTAAGAGTACTGATTACTTTAAATTGAGTTGCAGGCATAAGAAGTACTTCATCTTCAGTTGCATAATAGGAATATTTACGAATATCTTTCGCTGATTGACATTGTAAGTGAAACATTGTTCTGGTACCTGTTTTTCCCAGAAAAACTTCTGATTCTAGAATACCAACAGATGTTGTACAAGATGAGAAACCCCACCAGACGATTGTTTCTCCTGCAATGTATTTTTTGCTCAGATTTAATCTCACACCTCTGTATGCAATTTTATGAAGCGATTTAAGACGAGTGAGTCCATTAAGAAGCAGCCTCAGAAACAAATACCATGGTTTAAGCTTTTGTTTTCGATCTGGTGATCGTAATGTAGCATTCAACACGAAATATAGACATTTGTCAATAGGCTCCCATCCCATCGTGTACAGCATAATGGAAGCGGATTCATCTTGAGTCAGTTGATCGGTTATACTTTTACATCTTTTTTTGGCAATATATGCGTGGCTTTCAACAGCTGGCAGGATATAAGTGAGTGGTTCAACTGCTATTTCAAGCGGAACAAGCGGCATTGCTTCATAGCCGCAAATGGGTGCGATGAATTCAAGTGGCTCCTGTGCAATGTCTGTAATGCGTAAAATACTCTGTGCAGTTGCTTTTCCTTCAGCCCCTGAGGCCATTTTGAGCGAAGAGAATTATATTTTTGGAAAATTAAAATGATAAATATCTAAAAAAGTAATAAGCCGCAAGTTCTATTGTATTATTTTCTCCAACATCGATCTCTTTTTGTTTCTTTACAATACGATATTACTCATGCAATTATCAAACGCATTTTACAAGCAGCTCGATGCGTTTCTCTTGCAAATCTTCGGCGTTCTGACGAGTTCTCGTATCGGAACATGACGCAAACGCATCTAGATACACCGATCACAGAGTTACTTGAACGCACTTTGAGAACATTCATAGTTTCGGAACATTCTTCTACTAAAAGCATATCAACGCAGTTTAATTTTTATTCAAGGACCGGTTGGGACGTATCCATATGATTTTATGCCTCTAATCACGTTTAATAATTAAAAGAAGCGGTCTCTCTTCAAGCGAACACTATATGGTCGACAGAGCCGATGAAACGCGTTTCGCGAGATGCTTCCGTCAATGCATGGAATTTGCCGAAACGCGTTGGAATGCATTGCTTTTCGAAACGCAGTTGCGTGTGGGTGTGGATGAGTGTGAGGTGTGGATGTAGTTGGGGTGTGGGTGTGGGATGTGGGTGTGGGTGTGGGTGTGGGATGTGGGTGTGGGTGTGGGTGGGTGTGTGGATGGATGTGGGTATGGGTGTGGG